GTGAGCTTGTGTATACACTTGATTCACAAATTTCAGAGTTCTTCTACTTTATATGTGAAGAACATTGGTCGACCTTCATGCTTCAGAGATCAAAACAAAAAAATACAATCAATATGAAGATGAGAACGATTGTGAACCAATATTGCCCTAGTTTTATTTTGGTTACAGAAAAGGAAGATTGACAAAGTGCAGAGCGAAGAAGCAAAATGTGTATAAAGAAGATTATGTACCCTTGCCAATTCACCTGCCACGTAGCTTAAATAAATAGATGTTTGAGGAAAACAGACGGAAGGGGCTCATTTGCATCTATTAAAAAGTTAAAGGACCAATGTGATACGAAAAAAATTAAGGGACCAATATGAACTCAACGGATAGTTAAGGGACCAAAATGAGTATTTTGCCTAATCTTTTTCAAAAGAAATTAAATAATTAGAAAATGAATATTTACAAAAATAATTAAAAAATATTTCCGTCCATTGAGTTGTTAAAAAGGTTTTTTTTCCCATTAGGTGTGGTCTAACACCTTTGCCATCAATTTGTTTAGTGAACTTCTATAAATAGTATAATGTTAGAAAATAATGTAGTCATTATTCATTTCACCCATTACATATCCTTTGTAACCATTTTTGTCTTGGCAATTGTGTTTTTTAAGTAGGAGAAAGATATGAGTGTTTTTCTAAACCCATCGTGGAATTTTACAACACGGATCGCAATCATGAACATGAGTTTTTGAAAATTAGGTGATCCAATTAGAAATGTAAGAAAACTATAATTTTGTTGTTCATACATATCTATATAAACGATATCGCATACAAAATGATTTAAATATTCATTATATGTTTGAAACCCATAGAGGAGAAGTAAATTGTGGAGTTGAAGAACCACTTATTTTATTTGTTATCGTCAATTAGTTTATTTAGATGTATGTTAGACTTTAATTGATATAACTTTATTTTATGTTTATCTATTGTTGTGTCGTGAATGAAAATTTTTAATTTTAAATATATTTCGTACTTCTTGCAGCTAAGAAATTACATTAGACTAAATAATAACTTAATTATAAGATGAACTAAAAAAATATAAGCATTTAGAAGTGCTTGTAAAGCTTGGACAACTTATGCGGTTATGGTTGGTTAGGCGAAAAATCTTACATTTTTAGTTTTCTTTCTCAACATTGTCCATTTCGGTTCTAATGCAATTACTATTTAAGCGTCCTTTCTTTTTCCTTCGTATAGACTCATTGTGGAAAAGTATAAATCATTCATATTAATCCCAATATTCTTGGTGAGAAAGTACAAGGAAGCTTTATATGTAGACCTTAAATACATTAATAGCTTTATACACATCAGGTATGTGTATAGAGTAGTCTTGACATATACTAGAACATGTTACGATAACATTGGAGCAAGGTAAATGGTTGGCTTGAAATTTCCCACAGTCATGCCATTGTTTTTAGAAGTCAACATTAAAATGACCTATTGGTCGACTCTCATTTTAGTTAACAGTTTCATGGACCATGAAATAGAATTTATCACGATCAAATTGCATGACATTATGAGTGTTGGATTTTTAGTATTTCTTCAGTGATACCTTTATTACAATTATTTGTGTAAAATTTCCCTGAAGGAAACATTTTTGTCCAGTCATGAACTCGCTTCTCAAATAGAGATCTCAACCTATAGTATGTTGATTATACCAAAGTAGTGGTAAGCAGGTTACAAATGTCCTTAAGCACCGAGTTGAATGATTCGACAAGGCTGGTTGTCATGTGTCCTAATCATTGTCCTCTATCATATGCTCTTGTCTATTTTCTCTTTAAAATATTATTTATCCATCTTAAAGCCTTTAAGTTTGCTTGATGTATTTTCTCACAGTAGTAACAAAATGTAGGCTCATTCAATGTATATTCCATATATGTAAAATTAAAATATATATGATTAGTAAAATATAATGGTTAAAGTTATAGTAGTAAGGATAAATATAGATTGCTTATGAAGTTTTTTGTCTTTGATCTCACGCATGAAGTTTTTTATAATGTGCCTGATGTAATACGCATGTGAAGATGAAGGATATCCCCATCCATATTTTGGATCATTATATGCATATTTATTAATTCATGTCTATTAGATATCAAATAAGGGTTGGCTTGAGAGTGTAAAGTGAATTTACAAATTCTTTATATAAAAACTCCAAGCACTTTTTGTCTCACCTTCTACTAATGCAAAAACTATTGGAAAAATGTTATCATTCACATCTCGTGTAACAACCATTAACAATGTCCATATATACTTACTATACAACCATGTACAGTCAACTTTCACAATGGGTTTGCAATGTTAAAAATCATTGATACACGGTTAGAAAGCCCGTAATATACAATGGAAGATTCGACAATCACTGATTTAAGTTCCCTTATTTGAAATCTCAAGTAATGTTTTTAGTTCTAAAATAGTATCAAGAAGAAATTTTTTCAAGACCAAGAACCATTGTGGAAAGTCGTTGTAGGAAGTATCCCAATTTCCATAGAGATTTAATTGCCTTGTCCTTTGCACTTCACATATTTTTTTTACAATATTAGGTACTTATATTTCTCCTAAATAAGGGTGATAATAACCTCTCCACTTAAATTGAAGCATCATGATTAACAATATCTTGATAACAATCAAAACCAAGACCCATTTACCTAAAAATTCGAGATAATCTTATGTGTGTTCTCCATTCACATTCATCTAAACCTTGACTAACACCATGTGCTTTTAGAGTGTGTGTGAGATATTATGGAACTGTTCATCATCTTCATCCTTAGTCATATCTCCATTATCATGGACCATAAACTCTAAAGATTGAGTATTGAGGGATATTAGTGGCACATTAGGATATCCAATGTTTTGTGTAAATTTTGTTGCTTATTACAGGTGCAAGTGTCATTTCTTGAATGTCGTGTTATGTTTGGTGTAATATATCAAGAAAAGAGTTTCCACTATACTCCAAGAAAGACTTTGGCGAGATTTAGTATCAATTTTCCATAAGGAAGAGATGGAAGTTGTCCATCTTTGGTGGCGTTGGATAAAGATTGCTCACAAACAAAAATAGGAGTTGTCCAATCAATGCTTAGTTAATGGTAATCGCTCAGACAAGAGATCGGTGGAATCAAGTGGATTTCCATATACAAATACCTGGAGCAGAATTATTATGGATAGCAAAGTTATTTGATCAAGATCATTTAGAGATTTTGATTTTTTAGCAGTTGAGTATCTGCATCAACAGATGGGATTATCGTTTGATAGTTTGTTGTAACAAAAATGCTTGTAATCAAATTTATCAAAATAATGGAAGAACATGATTATTTTCTAATGATTTTCAACACCATTGAAGAGTGACGTAGGCAATGCAAGAATGAATGTTGAACCACTATATATCTTTGTGTATCTTTTCTACTTCCATTATCTCCTTTTATTTTCTAGTATTCATAATTTTGCTATTGCATTAAAGTGTATCGTTGTATTGATCGTATGCTACATAAGCTAGAATTTGCTTATAGAGATTTTGTGTGTAAGCTTAAGTCTGTAGAGTGTTGATCTTATTGAATTATCATAAATCCAATTGTGTCTTGATAGAACACCTATGTATGAGTGTTAAAGTGCTTTAAAAAAGGTATATTTGGTTATGTTGTTATTGTCTTAAACAAAAAAAAGGCTCTATTGTACCCCCTTTAGACCTCCTTGTGTCCATATTCTCACCCAACAAGGTACCGATCCAAACACCCATCTACACACTCCGCCGGGAACTAAACCTTCACTGCATAATATCTAATGGCACGCGAAAACGTCATTAATGTTACCATAAAACCTGCTATCAATGCCCTCAGATGGAATCACAGAAACTGGTCGTGGGACATATCCAAACAAGCGCAAACACCTATCAGGCAAGTGCCTAGCCAATAACGCCTCATATTGTAGATAACTAGAAAAATTATAGTGTCGTCGAACTCCTCATCATCTATATCCACTTTATGACATGTGTAGGGTGTCCAGATGAAATCCTTCACAGTCAGTGCATCAGTTCCCATCATGTACTCCATAACACCTCCCAAGTGTGCATTCCTGCCCCTCCACTTCATACCCATGGGGACCCAGTAGTGGTAGCAATAACTTGTATGTCACAAATGGGCGAGAAATATTCATATATATAACACTGCACAATAACAAAGACACATAACAAGAAATAATATCATAAACATAACTAACATTAATAAGAAGTATTAATTTAGTTGTTCTTGAAATATACTCATATAACTGGTAAGTTGCCTGGTCTCAAAATCAGTTGTCTCTCTAAAGGGCGACATATAGGACAATCAATGCATCACACCCTCATGCCCAACTACAATGCTCAAGAATGTTAAACAACCACATGTACTTCACATTTATATATACATGAAACTTATCCACTAACAATACATCCTACAAGATTTATCATGTATACCCTAGCCTGCCTCATACATACTAAGATGCACTAGCTCACCATACCTATATCACAACCAAGATAGGCGGAAGTGAGAACTCATTAAACTCCCATTTCAACTGCTCCTCAATAAACCCTACGAACTATACAACTGTCATGCATGCAATCTCCTAACTAATGATATGGGCGATGAAGAAACGATCAGCCAGTGAAATATGGAACAAACAGGAGACATCATCCAATGTAATCGCCATCTCACCAAATGGAAGATGAAAGACAAATGTCTTCTTGTGCCACGGATCAACAAAGGTTGTCAATAGCTGACCCTCGAGCATGGTTTGTAGACTGTCTACTAGTGGAAGGAGACCACACTTCTCAACTATCGCCTTCACCTTCGGTGGCATCACGATATCAGAGAACTTCTTCAGCTTCAACCCATGGGTGGCACCTTAAGTAAAACGCGTTCATGTAACAACCAATATAAAAATGATATTTAATTTCAAAGTATCATTAATAAATAAAGTCACCTCCCAATTTGAATGCCGCCAAGAAACCCCCAGTCTCTGAGTACATATGAGCTTGTCAAAGCAGGGTCAAGGCCATCTGTCTCAAGAGGAGGAGTAACATTCATATCATCAGTAGGTGGCACCTCAATATTCGTATGCAAAGTATACGCCTCAATAATAGTCTTCGAAGTGACCTCTATAGTAGCTACTGCCTTTACCTCAGAAGGACGAGGCATCTCTGCCTCTGTCTCTACCAGATTGGGCACATCAATTAACTCATCCTCAACATCTCTCGTCCATCCAGAAGCAGATAAAGATTATCTATGTCCAATAGTGCGGGGTACACAAAACTGAGGTTGATCGGCCAACTGCCTCATATGAGAATTGTTTGGTGCCACTCTCCCTGCCCTGAGACCTCCACATCACCTCCCATTTTATAACCTTCCTAGGAGTTATATCGCGCACTCGGCCAACAATCATACCATTTGTGCCTCTGGTCTTCAGTGAAAAAATAAAATATTTTTTTTATACTACCTGATTTTTTCAAAAATTCGAAACATTTGAACTTTCCGGAATTTTCAAAATATACGGCAACGAAGCATACATTTAGATATTTTTCAAAATATGCATTAAACATGCATAAAAATTTCGGATTTTTCATAAACTCCAGTAAAAATACCTCCCTTTTTACAGACTTTTGAAATGTTCGATAAAAATATACATTTAATTGAATTTTTTGAAAAATCCAGAATAATGTATATATCTTTATCGAAATTTTCAAAAAATCCGATTAAACATATACATTTTTACCACACATTTTAAAAAATGCGAAAAAATTATGCATTTTTATCGATTTTTTTTGAAAAATTCCACAAAAATGCAAAAATAATCTAAAGAATAATGCAGTAAAAAATCAAAGTTACTTGCCATCAAACACAAAATAATTGATAGTGTATGTGAAATATCCTGAAAATTAGAAAATGTTTTATAAAAATTCAAAATTCTCAAGTAATTATTGTGAAAGGTAATATAATATGATAAAAAGCATGGGGTGCCAAGTAGAAATTTTGGTCGCAGGAAGAATTCCCCCCAAAAAATACATGTGGTTGTAATCCAGGCCCAATCCTTTTGAAAGGGCCTTCAAATAAAACCCTAATCACAACCCGTTCGCCTCCTTTGCATCAGAAGCAAATTGGATAGAAATTTGAGTCTCACTGAACTTAACGCCGTCGGCTGCCAGAAACAGTGAGAAACTCCGTTCTCGTTTTGTATTTTTTATGGATATTCCTTACCCTGTCTTTGTGTATTCCAATATTTGTGCAAAATTTGATTTGATTTGTTTGTTTGTGCAGAAAAGAAAGCTTGTTTTTTCAAATCTACTAGGAAAATGTCAGGGTAAGATATTTTTGTTTAATCTGATTTGTTCTATTGTACTCTAATCTTTTTCTACAAAGGAAGGGTATTTTTGTTTAATTTGTAAGATGGAATGTTAATAAGGAGTTTGTTTCTGTGATTCTTATTGTTATTTATTTATGTTATGGTTTCTCTGGTTTATATTGGTTAGTTTAGTTAAAGATACTTTTGGTTGGAGAAACCTAATGGCTAACTTTTCTTGTGTATTAGTTGTAATGTAGATTGTGTTATTCTTATGCTTTGATTTTTGATATTGTTCGAATTTTCCCCGTTTTGTTTGTTTTTGGGCTATGTGTCTTGATACTCTGTATTTGGTCCATCTTGATATTGTGTATTTGGGTTTATGTGGTCTAAGCAGCCGTTCTTTTATCGGTTCCTCTTTTTATGACATTTTTGTTGAGGAATGATCTATGTTGTCAATAGTGTCTTGAGACTCTGTATTTGGTCCATCTTGATATTGTGTATTTGGGTTTATGTGGTCTAAGCAGCCATTCTTTTATTGGTTCCTCTTTTTATGACATTTTTTGTTGAGGAATGATCTATGTTGTCAATAGTGCGTGGTGGCAGGGTTTAGTGCGATGCTTTTGTACCTTAAGTTGTCATCAACCAAAGCATGTGTAGCTTTTACTGCCCCAAGTCACTATTGCAACTGTGTGTAGGGTTTCAAAGAGGATCTCCTAGAAGCCTTTTTTCAAACCTGTCCTTTTTAAAAGTTTAAATGTCAATTTGGACCCTTTTGAGAATAAAATTATGTTCCTCATTGTGAATTTTTTTTCTTTAATAATTAATTAAGTTGGTCTCTTTAGTTGTGTATCTGTTTACTTTGCACATTGATGTTCAGTCTTTTTAATAGCTGTTATCCCCTATAGCTTTGGGGGTCGGTGTAAGCAACACTATATGAGATTAACAACACCGTGAAGGTTATTAGTTGTGAAGTAAATTGTGTTATTGTTAAAGTGATTCTTGATATCTCCATAAATTGTGGATAAACGGGGTTAAAGCAGCTGATTGCATGTTCCAGAGACCCCACCAAACTTTAACATTAAGTTTGCAACTGCGGTTGCAGGATATAGTTTAATATATGGAATGGATGAAAGTGATATTACTTATTGTACCTATTTGTCATTGTATGAAAGTGATTCTTTTGTAGGCTCTTTCAGTAATAATCTTTCTCGTTCTTTTGTTTGTGTATTTATGTATGTATTTGGTCTGTTAGTCTAGAGTATTTTTGTCTAAGTAATGGTTCTTCCATGGCTTGTCTTTTTCATGATATATTTTCTATGCAGTGAGGAAGCTGTTGTTGTAGCTGAGCCTGTTGCTGCTGCCGCACCTGGAATTCCAGGTGAGCCAATGGACATCATGACTGCCTTGCAACTTGTGCTCAGGAAGTCACTGGCATATGGAGGTCTTGCACGCGGCCTTCACGAAGGTGCAAAAGTAATTGAGAAGCACGCAGGACAACTTTGTGTTCTTGCAGAAGACTGTGACCAACCTGACTATGTTAAACTAGTCAAGGCTCTTTGTGCTGAGCACAATGTTAGCCTGCTGACAGTTCCCAGTGCAAAGACACTTGGAGAATGGGCTGGTGTAAGTGTGATTGATTGTTTCTTTGTGATATTTAATGGCCATCACATTTGATTACCCAATGCTTACTTGTTTATGCTTTGAAATACTTATCAGAATTGTTGTTTATTACTTAGTTTTATTTCATTTTTGTTGTATTAATTATTGTTTGCCTTTTCCTTCCAGTTGTGTAAGATTGATTCCGAGGGAAAGGCTAGAAAAGTTACTGGCTGCTCCTGTGTGGTTGTCAAGGTATGGACTTATAGAAATGATTTTTCCTCTTTCTCTAGTGTTATGTGTTGCTTTATAATTATTTAATTGTTGGATGCATGCAGGATTTCGGGGAGGAGCATGAAGCCTACAATGTTGTTCTGCAGCACGTGAAAGCTCAATAAGTTGCAGGATCACTTTGAGTGTCTGTTTCTTTTCATTTTGTAGCTTTTCTATCCGAATGAATTATGCTTCTAGCTGGAGTTCTCCTAGGGATTTCAATTATTTAATATGATTTTGCTGCTTCCAGTTGTTATTGTTACTCTAATTTAGTTACTCACTTTTGTTCTGCTCTGATATTTCTAAGAATTTAATCATCTGCTCTGTTACCAAGCAAATTTACTTTTTTATGTATTTGCGCAAGCATCAAGTTTTGCAAACTGCGTTTTATATTCATGTTTTGCAAAACATGTTTATATACAAACGAAATTTCTCAACATGCTAGTTGTAGCTGAAGTATCATTCCTTAAATCAAATTGCAATGTTAACATTAAACGTGTCACATCAAAAGAAGAGACACATTCTCTTTTGTTACTTAACTTTCGAAGGATTTTGATATTTTCTTCCAATAAAAGAAGATACTGGGCATGAATATTGGAAATAAAGGAGGAGACTGACTTGAACTGTAATTTTAATGCATAATTTCATTAGAATTTTTCATGTTTTGAGTGGATAAAGTTGTGTTTATTTGGCGAAGATGACAATCTGGCTTAGAGGTTTGACGAGCATATGAATGAATAAGAAACAAAACAGTAAAGTGTATTAAAGATTTTTAGTAGTTCCCTTATAAATGAACATAAGGGTGCATTAAAGATTTTTACTAGTTCCCTATTAAAGATTTTTAGTAGTTCCCTGAACATAAGGTTGCATTAAAGATTTTTACTAGTTCCCTTATAAATGAATATAAGGAATTATATTAGTTCCCTTATCAACCAAGAGTACATCTAGTTCCTTCACACACATGAAAGATTTTTACTATAGTTATATATTTGTATAAGCCTCACACTAAGATTTTTCCTACAATTATATAATAATAACAAAGAAACACATTACTTTCTTGATTTTCAAAAACACCAACAACAATGGTGTGTGAAATCTTATTTTGCATGTGATATGCTCTTAACTATGACATCAACTTTTGATGATGACAACTAATGTATTATGAAAAGTGTTATATCCTAATTTTTGTCTCTAAGATTCTCTGTCATATACAAGCATCACGAATATTCTACTTGGAATAGGGATTAATGGTCTTGGAGATTTAGGGTTCCACTATAGCTTTGAAGCTCTCGTCTTCAAGGTTTACTCAATTGAGGGTCTTATGAGCTAGAATTTCTACTTGGTTTGAGGTTCTGATCAATATGCTCTACAAGCTTGGTTTAATTGGGATTCTCTCTGAATATGGATAGGGTTTGGCTTTATAATCATCAGGGGTTTCTTTCTTCACCATTTCGGTTTGTTCATCATATGAATAATGATTTCATTAATTACTTGTACTATAAATCATGTTATTTGGACTTTGCTCAAAGGCTATGAAATCAAACATGGAAGTTCTTGAGAATTATGGAGTGATGATCATCTTCTCGTGCTTACGATTATCAGTTGAATTAGGGTCTATTTCCCTACTCATGTGGAGATCAAAGGTTTTCTTTCAGGTTCCACTTGAATTCATGTCATCTTAAGGATTTGGTTCATCATGAAAATACATGAATCTTTGGTTCATAATTCATTGTTTGGACCGTAAGTCATCTCCTCGGTTCTAATACAAAATCTTTATTCATACACAGTACAAGCTATCAAATTTGAAGGCATTGGATCATTTCAAGACCATTGAGCTTTCATATGTCATTATAAGAAGTTTATAACATTGTATCTCATTACATCATAAAATCATTATCATCATCATTTCATCAACATCAATATAAAATCAAAGAAAAACTTAGAATTCAAATGCAAGGTAGATGTCAAGTTTGTTCAAATCCATCCAACTTTCAAGACAAAGTTTCATACATAAAGAAATTCATTAAAAAAAGGCATCTCATCACCATGACTCATTCAAAATTCATCTTAATACAAGTTCATTCAATTCAAGGCTTTACACAAGTATAACTCGAAATCCACAAAGAAAAGTTACAAGGCATTTTATTTTAAACTTAAAGTTCTTAAGACTATCTTCTCTTGCCATCCTCATAATTCAAGTGAGCGTCCCACTCAACTCCTAACCGATTCACAACTCAATGCCGATTTATCCAACCTTGGCTTGCAATAACCCAAAACAAATATCAGAAATAAAGCCTTGCTTTTTTAAAAGCAGTTCAGACAAAACAGAGGAAACCGAATGAATGCAAAGTTGCCACACAAGTATCTCATTTCCAACTCATTACTCAAACCCTGAAGCACCTTTCGATTGTGATTTATTTTCACATCGATGATACTTCGACACTATTTCCGAGCATTTGATTTCTGACTATTTTCTTTGATTGGTGAAGCTTCGCGAAGATCTTCTGGTTTCTTTTCTTTGATTGTGTTTTTTGCGGACATTATTGTTCATTTGGTATTATACTGATTCCAGTTTATCTTTCTGCATTTTACCGCTTTCTAGATATCATGAGAAGTAGGATAATAAAGAGCGTACGCTCGAAGTCGCTGTTTAAAGTCCTGTAACAGGCATTCCACATCTGTTTGCTAATTGTACTTGTGCTTGCCTCCATCTGTTGACGATCGATGATGTCACTCAATTGAGATAACGACTTTGATCTTTGCATGCTCCCCATAGGATTTCATGGCTTTATTCTTGTGTCAATCGATGATGTCACTCAATTGGAATTGAGATAACGACTTCGAACTTTGCATGCTCCTCATAGGATTTCATTGCTTTATTCTTTTGTCGATTGATGATGTCACTCAATTAGAATTGAGATAACGACTTTGATCTTTGTATGTTCCCTATAGGATAATTATAATCTCCTTTAGGTTTTTGGTATGCTAACATAGGTAGAGATTTCCCTTTCATCCTCAATCTTAGGATCAATAATTAAATGATAACATTAGGGTAAAGATAGGTAAGTCTCCCTTAGTTGTTTTCTTTCTTTTGCACCCTTAAAACTAAAACTCTTTTCTTTGGCAAACTCATAAAACATTCTAATTTTTATAAACCCTTTTATAAGGTAAAAAAATACTAACCATTGCAAATCATTTTAGTCTTCAGACTCTTCTTTTCTTTTGAAAACATTTTCGATAAGGATGTGTCATTTCAAATTCAAGCAAGTTGGAAATGCTAAGTGTGCGAGTGGTCGAGCATGAGTCTCTTATGAGCTGCAATTCCAAGCATGAATTGCAATCCTAACTACAAGGATGCGAACATGGCATTATCCATAAAAAACATTGCAACCCATCAAAATTATTGAGTCAAAGTATAACGCTCTGATTCCTTAAAAGGGATACGTAGGCATCTGGTCACGGGGATCAGCCGAGCAAAAATTTGTAAATATTCCTTCTTTTCCCCGTGTTTTCTTTGCATACATTCCCTCTTTGTATTTTTTTAGCTCGTAAGCTTTAGATTTAAACAAACCCTTTAGATTAGAACAACAAGAGTGGATCCCGTAGAGTACTACAAAAGTGAGGGGTGATAATACCTTCCCCTCACGTAATCGACTCCCTTACCCGATCTCTCAGTCGCAAAACTGTGATTTCTCCCTCTTCAGGTTTTCTTCGATATTTCCCTTTCCCTCCACGAGATAAATAAATGTTCGATAACGACTTCATTGATTTTTATCATATGATTTCTGCTGGTTCCTTCATCTGGCGACTTCACTAGGGAAAGATTGACCAATTGCTAGTCCATTCTGTGAGTTAGTCCTAGATCTTGTTTTATTTTCTCTTGGGTGTTTATTTCTTTAGCTTTATGGCTTGTTCATATGTATGTTTGTTACCTGTTTATATGTGTATATGTTTGTGTTGTACCCCAAAATTATCTCTCCCATTTTCAAGACAAATCATTTCAAAATACCTCTTCATGCTCATGAAGGTCTCAGTTGCTCAAGACTACTCAAGGATTGATCAGACAAACCCTCTTCCCAAGTAGTGACCTACAACTAGGGTTTTGTGTTTCTCAAGAGAAATTGAACTTATAATGCCTCAAGTGGATTTAATGGTTTATCATATGTATCAAGGTATCCTCATGCCAAGTTTCAAGCCTTGCAGCATAAGTTTGCTCAATCAATTGGCCAGATGATTGAAAATCAACTGTATTGGATAAAAAAGTCAACTTTGACCAATTGACAGTCAAACTTCAAGATTTTTGGTCAAAATCAACATTTTGAAGTCAAATTCATCATTTTATCAAGGGCTAATAATGATTCATCAAGAAAACTCAAGATTCATCAAAAGTCAAAAGTTACTAAATTAGGGTTTTCTTGAGGAGAAATCAACTGAACTTTGACCAAGCATAACTTTCACATACTTTATCAGAAATTTCTCAACCAAATCTTATTTTGATGGAAATTAAATTCTCTACAACTTTGTCTCTCTAATCTCAAGGCCAAAAATACTTCATTTGAGAGATATGAGCCAAAACATTATAGGTCATTTTAAAAGTCAACAAAAAGAGACTTTTTGTCAAAGAAATTTACATGAGGTTAAAAATTTCAAATGAAAAAATGACCAAAATGAAAGTTGTAGGGGACATATTGATCTTTCCAAAAAGTCCATGATAACCTTCATATGATAAAAATTGAGTGAAATATGATTTGTGCAAATTAGACTATTTTGAGAAAATGCATGAAGTTCAAATTGAGCAAATTTGAATTTTTGGGATAATGGGCCTATCTTTTAGAGTCCAAACGTGTTCCTGACCTCATAATAGGTCTCCATATCGATTAATTTATTTTTATTATTTTTATTTCTTTTTATTTAGATTTTATTCAATTAAAAGCAAAATAAATCAAATAAAATACCAAATAAATGATATTACACATGAGGATCTATTTTTGAATCAAATCGTAAGTCTAAAAAGCTGGTAACAACTTGAAAAAAACGTGTGAGATTGATTGGCACGAGATTGGTCTAAAAAAGAAAGATTTCATGCAAAATTTCAATCAAATATTTGATCATGAAATTCAAATCT